CAGCAGAAACGTATTTCTGACTATTTCGATGTGAGAAATGGTTTTAATTCCCCTATACGCTAGAATAAGGCTGCATATCACTAAATATTATGTCTGTATTAAGCTATTTAGTGATAAAATATGAAATTAGTTAATTTTTTTGTGTGTGTGTGTTTTTTGTTTCAGATATGAAATCATTCCCCATATCCATAGTCGAATGGACTTTCAAGACGTTCAATGTTCAGTTTAGGCTATATTTAGGCCATGTTTCATTCAAGTATTCCAGATCCTGTTGATTGCGAGCTCTTGTTTGTTTCGAATGATTAAAAGAGAAGAAATAAAGTTTAAAATGTTCATGCTTTGTTCCGATGCATTTTAAATGGCAGTTTTTGGCGACAAATGTAGGCCTACAATATTATGTTAAAAACGTCAGCCACAGCCCTCAACATAATGACGTCACGTGTTTTCTAACCCAGCCATCAGCCCCCCTCGCTTGAAACAGCTTCCAGCGCGCCTGGTCAGCACAGCTCCGGGATGAACGACTGTGACGTAAAGTTTATTCTTTCTATTCTAAAGGGTGTTTCTGGAGTTTTTATGAGATCAAGTTTTCAGACGACCAAACTTTAGCCAGGCTCATGTTTTAAATTGTTTTGAAGGGTTTGGGAGGATTTTGGGGGATCACTCCCAGAGAGATGGATTTTGAAACGTTTTCTGTGGATTTTGCTCATGTTGATTTATTTATCAAAGCAAATATATCTGCCTAAATTAAAGGTTTCTTTTAAGGGGGGTGGGGGTATTAGGTGTCATGATTTTACAAAGTTCAGACCCAAATGTAGAAAACCGAACAGGGAGACCAGGGAAAAGGTTTAACAGGTTTTATTGAAGAGGTAAACCAGTGTGAGGTAAACAAGTGTTGCTCTGAACACTGCTCAACCGGAACTGAAAAGTGAGGGGAAGACACAGGGGTTAGTTCAGGTTCAGTGGGGAATTTGACTCGTGAACTTGGAGAAGAGGATTTGGTTGCTGACTCACGTTTCCAAAGAAGTAGTTGAATCCTTGACTCCTGTCTGTGTGCTGTAGTTCCAGTGTTTGTCTGATTCGGTGGAGGGCGGAACAGGGATTACCCAGAACGCGGTTGTTAGTTGGTGAACGGAGAAACTGACTGCCACTCAGATTTCCTGCGGTACTTGAACGGGTCGTACTGGAGATTAATCCCTTTCTCAGTGCGAAGCTCAAACGATCTCTTGGGGAAATTGGATCCAAACCTCCTGTTTGAACCCCAGCTCAGTTGATCCTTCCAGGGAGAGAAGGTCAGAGAACTCCTGTTTGCAGGATGACTTCCTGCCGGTTGCAAAGACATAAACAAAGTTAAACCCAGGTTGACAAAAACTCAGTTTGACTCAGCAAAACTCAGCTTGGCTAGAGTACCCAAAACTGGAAAACACTCTGACATCGAGGAAGTGGCAGTCAGCAGCTTAAGAACACACCGTCTAACGAGGAAACCATCAGCAGGTGTGTGAGGAGGCGGACCAGAACCAGACGCCTCCTGGTGGATGAAGGGAGACAAACACAGAAACACAAACACAAAGACAGGAGTCCTGATATTAGGTACTGTAGTCTTGTCTCACATTGCTTTGTTGCTTCTCATACACTTTCTTGCAAAGGTATACCATCTTATTTTCAGATTCTATATAATGGAATGCCTGAAAGTAATTCACGATTATGAAACAGAATAAGTAGTAAAGTAAATAGTGAGAAAATAGGAAAGTGGGGCATGGATTTATATGGCGGCCGAGTGGTTAAGGTATAGGGCTTGGAATCCTGAGGTTGTGAGTTCATAAACCACTGCCACTCTGACTCTCAGAGCAAAGACTCTTAACCCCCGATTGCTCCCTGGGCACCACACATCAGAGTACTTGTGACAGTGTAATGACATGAAAATGCTGCTCAAACTAAGATGGAAGGGGGTGCGTTAGAGGCTTTAAATTACTACTGTGTGGCAAAACTATTATTTTGTCATAAAAATAGGGCCCTTTTAAATTAAAACATCTTGTATACAGTAAAAGACAGTGGTGTGGTAGTCTGATGGTCTTCGCCTACTTTCCTGCTTCAGGATCTTGCTATAATGGATGGAACCACAGTTAAGTGAAACTGACACCATTATCTCCCTTCTTTTGTACTTTGCATGTTTTTGTGTGCATATGTTGCTAGTTGACTCTATTCTGTGGTCACTTTCATTAGACAGGAACTCATAAACATAACACAGTCCTCCCTAGGACATTATTTTCCATTTCAAATTAACTCTTTCTTTACTGATATCTATATTTGTGGGGCAGTGGCTCTCTATGGGGTTGGCTTTAGAGATCAACAAGCAGGTGATCATGAAGATTCTGCCCAGAGACACTCCTGCCCTCAATCAACTTCTCTAATATCTGTTCTTTGGCTTACAAACGGATGAAATGTTCCATTGGTTAAATAACTGTTTACTTATTGGGTGGGAAAATCTTTGTTTTTCCAGTTTTGTATCTTACATTTGATGTCTGCTGGTTGGAAAGAAGTAGCAGTGACTATACCTGCTAGAAGAAGACATCTGATGAGGTCTGACTATTTTTAACCCCTCGGTTCTCCTTCAGCCCTCGTGTTATTGTGTTGTTGACGTTGTGCTCCTGCATATAAACAGGAAGCAGGAAGCTCAGGCTGATGGCTGACCGCCGTAGAAATAGGTGTCACTGTGTTTGCATCTGGCTGTCATTGTGTTGGTTAAGCTGAGACTCTGACATTTTATGTGACAGAGGTCTGACTGCTGCTTGTCCCAGCTCTGGAGTCAGGGCCATGAAAGAGGCCAACAGCATATGCTAGAAGGAATAAACAGTGAATTGCATGGCGGTTGCATGAAAATGAATAATACTTTTTGGTTTTCTGTGAATCGCTCAAATTTACCAGTTTCAACCTTTTTCAAAACAAAAAATAAACTAGTAATAAACATAGCTATTATGTACTCGATGGTTTTTAAGATTTAATTTAGAAATATTAACTCAATTACTTGAGTAGGTTTAATTAGTTAATGACCAACAATGGTGGCAGGAGGAGGATGACTGGGAGTGAGGGTGTTTTTTATCTGATCTAAACTAATTTCTGATCCCAGCCTTTCTGCCTGCTCTGCGCACTCTCCAATCAATTAAACTTTCCCTGGATTGATGTTAAAGATTTTCTTGGAAAGTTTTACACCCATGAAACCACACTTTATGTGCAGTTTGACTAGTTGAATTATAAGCTGTGTGTTACTCAGGCTGCTATAAGAATCCCTATAACTATTGACGGGGAAGTACAACAAAATGAACTCCACCATAACCTGACAATGATTCAAAAGAAATGCAAGCCTAAAATATTTCAGCCTGCCTTGTTCGTTACCTGAACAAGATTACCTGCAAATGGCCCATTTTAAAGCAGCTTTGGAGCCAAACAGAGAGGGGAGCTTAATGAGTGTGTGAACAGGAACTGTTGGAAGCAACATAAAGCAGACTGAAGTTACCAGTAGAACTCGATGTTGACCCAGAACAGACAGAATCAGACTTACAACTTTTCACTCATAGTCACCCAACAAGAAATTGAAACCAGGGTCATAAGGAACAGAGTAGAGAGACTTTCATTTGCCCTAAAATACCCTAAACATTGTAGCTAAACACAATAACATGTCTTTTAGTTGAAATCATTGCTTCTCATTTTTGCTGTGAGTCCAATTCTACAGATAAGCTACGGATATAATTTATGTCAACAAATCTACATATATGTCGACAAAAAAAAACAAAATTGACAAATAAATTAGGAACATCTACAGTAGCAGACATTCAAAATGGCCTTCTAAGTCAAACGCCAGCGGAATGGCAGCCCACTTCCCTGCAACTCCCTGCAAAATCCCCTCCAACTTCCAACCACTGGAAAGATCCCCTCCTTCTCTTGGGGCTGCAAATTTTTTTACTCCACCCTTTCATGCAATTACAGGGTCTGATCAGGAGATGGCGCTTCTCTTTAGATCTTAATGTCCATTAATCCTGACAGAATATTTAATACAAAGATTGAGTTTTAAAAAGTAATTTTAAGGGACCAGCCAAGGACCCATCAAGGGGCCATCAAGGAAAGTGGGAAAATTTTCAATAACTACTACTGTAGAACTTTTACTCATGGAAGTCTTCACTTCAATATTTTCTGTGCTGATTTTAAGCATACAGCTTTGCGTTAATTAAAGATGCGGTGCTGAAAAAGGTAAAGCAGTTATTAAGCCTTACTAGGTTAATTCAGCTGTGCTGAAAGTTGGATCATCATAATACAAGATTCAATATTTGTCCCTATCCCTTTTATTTCACAAATAGCCTGGAGGATTCCAGCAACATTCTTTGCTTAATAAATAACATTATTTGAAAAGAGATTTTTGTATTTACTTGGAGTAGCTGTCTGATATAGAAACCAATAAATAATGTGACATACTTATTTATGACATAAATAACAAATCGAAAAAAACTCTGCAAAGGAGAGGTGAAAGGTTGAATTTAAGGTTTGTAAGACTGCATAGAAAAACTGTTTGTAATATGATGGATGTAAGGGGGAAAAAATACCTTTTAAACCCTGTCTAAGATGAGTGGATCATTGGATTGTCATGGTCACACCTGAATTAATGCCCATCAGCCACACCTGTAAACCTCCCACCACCTTGACTCACTGCTCTGAAGCTGATTGCTCTGAAAGCGTCAGCCGGACTAAATCTTTTGTTTAAATGGCAAGTGGAAAATGCCAACATCTGTTACTTCCACTAAATTGGATGAAGGTGTCAGTTGTTTTTTTTTTTTTTTTCCCAATCGTTTCGGGTGTTCCAATTGTTGATGGGTCCAGGCAAGAGCTAAAGCAAAGATCCACACAATTCCCTGCTTTTATTTGACCTCAGTGTGTGTTTGTGTGTAATCTCCACTTTTCAAAAAGACATTTAACTTTAGCTCTTTCCTTATTTTATTTTTCTCTCTCCCCAGTGCCATCTTGGGCCATTGTCTCGATTGCTTTCGTAGCCATCATTCTGGTGTTGGCCTGCTGCTTTTGCGTCTGCAAAAAGTGGATTTTCAAAAAGAAAAACAAAAAGAAGGGGAAAGATAAGGGCAAAAATGCCATCAACATGAAGGATGTCATGGATGGGGCTAAAACCGAGGTAATGTCTCTTATCTGTTATCATCTCTAATTTAAAGTTATTATCACTTATTCCTTTAAAAATTTAAGGTTATACTACATTTTTTATATATGAACACAAACAAGAAGTTGAAGGTATTTCTCCTGAAGTAATTTGTGATATTTTATGTTTACTTCTGTTTGCATATTTTGGCTTGTTTTCTTTTGCAAATGATGACAAAGTTGTAATATAATCCCAAGCTACATTCAAGAATTTAATTACAATTGTATTGCAAACCTGATTGTTCCAGTGCTTCTTGCACTTCGTGTTGTATGAATCCATAAATATAGATAAAGCATTAGAGCTTTGGTCATTTAGATGGCCCGATTTTAATCTCTGTCATCTCCTGCTTTTGGTTCTTGTGACTGGTTCTTTTTTTGTCATTAGTGGACCTGCTCACTTGTTGAAGAGTGTGAGAAGCTGTGTAATGAAGCGGTATCCACCCAGAGAAATGACATTATCAAACTTTAAACAAACACAAAAAGGGAACTGAACAAAGCTCCTTTTGTTCATCAGTGCAGAAGGCGAGGTTCTGATAAGCAGACTATGAATTGCACCTAAAGGGCTTCATTAAAGGTGCCATCTTCAGTGAACCCCCAAATGATATTTTGTTTAATGTGCAGCAACAACAGCTCTTCGATCAGAGATGGCTCTGAGACATGAAAAGAAGGCAGCAAACGTTTTTCTGAAATATGGGTTTTGAAAACCGACCCCCTTCACACCAAACCATAGACTGTGCCACAACTTCCAAATTTTAACCTTTTACAGTTCGTTCCTATAAGCTAGCTGTGTCAAATTCCCCAGAGCTTCCATCTCAGAACCTTCAATTACATCCCTGCTCCAACACAGCTGACTCAAATGGCTGAATTCCCTCAGCTGCTTGTAATTTAGCTCTCCAGGTGCCTTCTGAGGAGCCATTCATTTAAAGCAGGTGTGTTGGAGGAAGGATGTGAGCTCCCCTGGAATAGGCTATGGGGCATGAAGTAAGAAGTTACGCCTTTTGAGTTTTGGGGGGGCAATTAACCTTGAAAGTTCTAGGTTTTAAGGAACAGAAACTATAAGCAGAACTATAAACAAAACAATAATTTTTTTTGCATGAGTCCTTTCAGGATGAGTAATGAGCTATGTGTAAAGTTGAGATGATTTCAAAGGATGACTCTAGGTCAGTTTTTATCAATCCTGGTCCTCAAGGCACACTGCTCTGCATGTTTTGGATGTTTCTGAGCTTCAGCACACCTGATTCAGATGACTGCAGTTCAGCAAAGCCTGATAATCTGCCATAAATTGCTAATAGGTGTGTGAAAGCTGGGAAACATCTAAAACATGCAGGGCAATGTGCCTTGAGGACCAGGGTTGAAAAACACTGCTCATCTGAATCAGGTTTGCTGAACCTCAGAAACATCCAAAACATGCAGAGCAGGGTGCCTTGAGGTAACCTGACTCTGCCAGATGGATTTGCTCCGCATATCCATCTGGAAACCTTCCGTTGAAGTCATTTTGGGAAGGGGCGAAAATACTGGTTAGCTGATTGGCTATGTTGGTGATAGACGGGCCAAATAAACCAATCAGATCAACGAAGCATATGACGTAACAGAGCGACGACGAAGAGGAGCCAATTGATAGATCAAACTCTTGCCGAAACCAGTCGGGAGAAGAGCAAAAAAATATTTTCCTCTGATAAAAGCCACCAGAGCAGTCTTTTGCTATTCTTTCAGTGAAGAAATACTCTGTAATTCCGATAAAACTTGGTCGAGAGCCACGCTAACGCTAGTTTCATCGGCTGAAGCCGCCATGTTCTTTAGACTGAACTGTCGCGCTTCTCGTTGCGTCACACCTCAACCGGCCTCAAAGCCAACGCTGATTGGACGTTCATTTGGTGAATGGCTCCAAATTTTCTTCAACGGAGAGTCTCCAGACTGATTAGTGAGTGAAATCTTGAAAGCTTGCGAGATCAGGATGGTCTCACGAGGCTATCTAAAGGACCAGGGTTGAAAAACACTGCTCTAGAGAAATCAGCAAACCTGCACCTTCTAGCCTCTTGATAAGGTAAAACAAGCCATATAGTGTTTCTTCCTTTACAGTAAGGTTGGAACTGATGGTAGATGTTCAGAATCCTCCCACCTAAACAGCGCAATTCTGCAGTTGGTGAGGAGGCATCATATTGCATTTATATTTGTGGCAGTCACACTCTGATAGGACGATTGAATAAAAAAAAGGGGATAAATTACACTTAAAGCAGGACTATGATTCCATTTCAATTGAAATTATGAGTTAAATATTTGTTGTAGTTCATCTACATTAAAATGAAGATGATTGAAACTGGTATAGCTGTTTAAATCTGCTATGAAAGCCTTTACAGCCTCCTAACTCATAGGGCACAACTTCTATTACTTCCTGATATCCCCACTGCCTTTGCACAGCCAAAGATAGATTTTTAAGCTGTAATTATTCACAATAAATAGTGTAATCTCTCTTTTAAAAGAGTGTTTTTATGTGATCTTTCAATCTGTCTCTTTGGAGGCAATCAGTCATTTCTCCTGGTGTGCCCAGACTCTAGTGTGTTAACTCCTGTGTGTGGTTGTTTTAATTTGTGTTTCTTCCTTCTATGTCCTCCTTATCTGTGTTGTGTCTGATGACTGTTCGGGATGGTCACTGGCGGTAGGTTCCCAATTGCTGTTGGATCTTCTTAAGCCTGCTGCTCTGACTTTTTTATTTTCTAATAGCCTCTTGAAAACAACTACCGCTCCCATAGAAACCAAATATATGTAACTATGCATACTGTACATGTTTATCTACTCTATATATGTGCGTACAACCTCCATATGCACATATATATGTATGAAAGAGACACTGGGTGCGTAATAGCGAGGTTGAACCACACAGACTTTTTTTTTTGTGCCAAGCTGTCAAAGTCTCAGACTTTTTGAACGTTTCATTTAAAATTCAAATCAGGGCATAAGTAGAATGATTGAGAGGCTCTACTACAACATTGCCTTAAAATGGTTTCATTGATCTACATAAAATGTTGCTTACTTATGAAGTGGTGGGAAAAAGATTCACATTTTCTTAGCGATAAATTACGAAATGTGTTCTTAGCCCCGTATATTCTGATATGCGAAAATTAAATCTATTGCAACCGATTGCATTAAAAGATTGGGTACTTTAGTATGGTGTCAGCTGTTCAGAAGTTTCCTAACAAAACAAATATGTGGAAAAAGGTGCTCTCGATGTTGAATTTGTGCACCCATGCACACAGTGAAGCATGGCCACAGGAAATGGGAGTGCTGGGGTTGCTGTAGTACCCCTAGTGGCGAGAGGGGGATTAAAATATATAAAAAATGCTTTGCAAAATTTATTTGCAAAGATTTTAACTTTTTATATTTAACTATTACGTCTTTGGATTTTAATTTAATTATTTTGAGGACTAATCAACCCAGGTACACGGAACTTACGCTGTCATGGCAACGTCAAGCAAGCTAGTGGTCACCGAGTAAAGAGGTATCCCGCTCGCAGCAGCAGACTAGTAAATGTACATAGTCTAATGACAGAAACGAGGAGGAAATATCGCACATAAATGCATTTCGGATTTTTTTTTGGTAAACCACCACCAGTGAAGAAGAACACTAGTACCGCAACCATGACAACAGAGAGCAGCCGGAGTGAGGAGACTGTCCGCCCGCTTCTGATGGCAGTTGCACCAGCATGCCTAGTCCCAGCACCCGCAACCCCACCTGATGTAACAGAATTAGACAAGCCCTTCCAGCCAAATTGGCCTCGTTGTATCTTAGATAGGCCTATAGGCTCATAGGTCTTTTGTCCAAACTACTTCCAGCGGCCCTGCTGTGAGGTGTGTAAAACAAAAATTGCACCTCCATATACCATGTCTTTGGCTGAATCATGCTTTAGGGCTGCTTATCATTTACTATAAAAGAAGACCTGCTCAGAATTGAGGGAGAAAATAGATTTAACTATTTACAGACAAAAACAAAACATGCTTCCCAGGACCTCATACTACACTGCAAAAAATTTTATTCTAAAAGAATCATTATTTTCTTAAAATAAGGGCGTTTTTTCTTGAATTAGGGAGGTAAGTGACAAAGTTTGCCAATGGAACAAGACAATTTGTATTTAAAATAAGAGAAAACAATTGCATTGTCTTTTTTCAAGTGAATAATATCTTATTATCTTATAATAAGGGTAAACATACTCATTCCATTGGCAAATTATCTTGTCTGCCTGCTAAATTAAAGAAATTATTGCTTATTTCTAGATCGTTTTAACAGTGTAGGCCGAAGGTTAATCCTCTAGCAGTATAACCTTCCTTCATATCCAGTCTGACTGCTTTAGTGAAGAATAATGGGTCAAATGTATTGACTCAGACATATGATGATAATTGGGTTCTGCTCGTTTAGATTTTTGTTTCTATAAATCCTGAATTAATTTTCTTCCACTTCATAATTGTTGGTCGATCACATAAAGGATATGATTACATTGTGGTTTTTGGTTGTTTTAGGAATTTTGCCACAGAGTTTTAAAATTGGTGATGAAATGAACGCAGCATTTTTAGTTTTTTTTCTTTCAGCTCAGGTGAAACTGATCACAACATTCCAAAAGATTTTTCCTCAATCATTTAACCTGCTATGATTTTCTCTCTAATTGGATAAATTTCTGTCGAAAGCAGAGACCCGACTCAGAGACAGCTCCCTAACCAAGTCCGTGTTGTTCAGCCTCCTGCTTTCACATGATTAATTTAACTAATAAAAGCAGGCCCCAATGTGCAGTAAACCCCCTTTTTTACCAACACCTTCACACCCACCGCTGGCATGATGCTTCTAGCTACATCAGCATAGAGGGGGTACAGCTTTAGGGCTATGATGACGATGTATGTATGTCTGAGGTTGTAACCAGACATGGGAATGAGGAATCACAAAAGAGCACTGTTTTGTATGACAGAGAATGCTCTGCATGCCAAACGATGAGAGCCACTTGGGAAAGGCAACTCTTGACTCTGAATGACTGAGAACTAGTCTTTGCCTCTTTAAACGCATGTTTATTTTTTAATCTAACGGGAAACTCCCTCCCTCCCTCCTTACTGTCACCCCACCTCTCCTCCCCCCACCGGCACCACCACCTGTCACCATCACCTCAGTGCCAGGCTAAAGAAAGGCCGCTTTCACCTCTCTTCCAATGCCACTTCTCACATTTCCCAGTTTTCTTTGTTTCTTGCCAAAATCTTTATGTGCCTGAAATAACCATCAAAGGGAACTGTCCAACTGCTACTTTTTCTGAAAGCATCTCTCTCTGTTTCTGTCCTCCTTAAGTATCTCTCTGTCTCCTCATTGCTCTCATTTCTGGTGCCATCATTTGATCTTTCCTCCCATCAGACTCAAACACTCACAGACTGGTACAAAAGCACCAAATGGGACCAGGCCTGGGGCTTTAGTGCATCACAGAGCATGTCCTAATGTTAACTGCCGTGTTTTAGTGCTTGCTCCCCTTATCCCCCTCCCATCCCCCTTTCCCATTTACAGTTTAAAACAAGTGGGGTTTTTACAGGACTAGGTTTTCGCAGGCAGCACCTGGGCGGTTGAACAGCTGGCTGGGTGCTAGCTCCTCGCTACAAACAGGCCTCACTGACTCTTGGTGGGTGTCTCCTTCAGGCCTTGAAGGATGAGGAGGATGCAGAGACAGGGCTGACGGAAACGCAGAAAGAAGCCGAGCCGAAGGAGGAAGAGAAATTGGGCAAATTACAATACTCCCTGGATTACAATTTCACTGAGAATACGGTAAGGATCTGTTCTCCAAATTACTGTGTGCTGGTTTTTCTTTTGCTTTATTTATTGTTGTTTTGCAAAGATCCCTTCTGGTAAGTATTGTTGTATCAAACCTAAACATAGGTCTGTGCTTCTTAAGGTATGCCAATGTTTCTAAAAGCTTTGGTTACTAAGCTGCTAAAGGTTTATATGACACATTTAACAAAGAAATTGCAAATTTAACACATTTCCTTCTGCTTTAGGGAGCATAACATAATAAAGAGCTGTCCTTCCCTCGACCCTTTGTTGTGCATTACTGGTCAACTTGCTAAAAGTGGTTTCTACATTTTTCACTTATTACAAAAAAGACAAATTGTGCCATTTAAAAAATATCAGAAAATACATTCATGACAAAGAAACTAAAGGACTCCATCCATCAATTCAATTGAAATGGCACTGGTATAAAACTACTGTTATGACGCCTTTGTGTGGTGATTACCAAAGCACATAGTTCTCATTAAGTAGCTTATTTAAATGAATTTGTTATAATCATATTTTTACATACTAATAAGAGTAAAGCAACAAATATATAATATTGTGCACAATGAGGGCTTAAAAACTGTTCAGTTCAGCAGATGCAGAAAAAAATGCAAGTGTGAAATGATTTAACTCATAGAGCAAATTAGGTTTAACATAATAAGGATGTAATATGCATTAAATGGAGGCTAGCAGTAGTTTAAAATGTATCAGATCAGACCAAGTTAATTAGACCACTATAACTAATGGTTGTGATCGTTACTCTAAATTGAGTTGGCTGCATCAGTCTCAAAATAATTCAAACTGCTTTATACCGGCTATGAATTATCCTACCAGCAGATAAGATAGTTTGATTCTTTTCTGTTTTTAATAAAAAAAAAAAAAAAAAAAACATTTTTCTTAATAAGAGATATTCTAAAGAAATCATTTTAAAACCTGCAGCTTTTCTACAAAGACCAGGTTATTGTTATTGTTTGTGTACTGCTGCTGTAAGCAGAGGTACTGTAAGGGTACATTTTATAGCATTCTTAGATCTTTGGAAAGAAAGGATCAGTTTTCAGGAAAATAATTTCAAGTTCCAGGCCCTAGTTAAACCTTTTCCATGTCTGAAAATTTTGACTTGTCTCATCACTATATATTCCTCTGAACAGAAATCCTAAAATGTACACCATATGTCAGGTGGTGTTAATGCTTAATGTTGTATACAGAACTTTCTACTTAGACTTTTAAAGACACATTACCCTGCCGGGATTTAGGTTGTCATGTCTCGTTTGTTTTAATCTTTTTTCACACTTGATCAAATACGGCCCCAGTAGATACCCATTTTCTGGTGAGAATTTTTATTTATTTATTTTTTTTTTTAAAGGAGAATAAGGAATTAAATTAACTTCCTTTCAGCAGATGTTGCTCAAAAGATCATGGATGCGGTGCATGAACACACTATCCCTCGCTGGGCTACTTTAGTCCCTGTTATAAACAGATCTGACAACCTGTAATAAGGGAGTGATTCTTTCTGTTTCTATGCACCAAACATATCGTTTCGGTAAGAGGGTAACGGAATATCAGACTTTATATTTATGTCTATTAACCATTAGTGTTGTAGTCAAGACCAAACCAACCGAGACCAAGCAGTAACGAGACAAGGCCGAGACCATAAAAGGCAGGGATGTCAAACTGGTTGCACCAGTAGTGCACCAGACTCCATTCATCTCATAAATCCATCATGTTAAGGTTGGACTTACTTGATGTGATGACTGGTGTGCTATTTCTTGGTTGGAGAGAAAACCTGCAGCCACACGGCCCTTTCTGGAACTGGTTTGACATCCCTCATATAAGGTCTCGGACTCTAACGGTCTTGGTTGGCGTTGTCTTGACTACAACACTATTAAGCATCTTCAAATATGCATTGAACTGTTTTTTGGGTTTTTTTATAGGTGGGAAGATTACAAGTAATTAACTATAAATAGTCTTTAAAGAAGACTGAGTGCATCAGCTTGAATTGATTAAATCTGTCTAATCCAAGCATATCTATAATTATATTTTATTGCCATTTCAACTTTGTAGGTAAAAAGACTTTGGTTGAAATATGGTCGTGATTTATCTCAAGCGGGCCAGATATATACATAGACTTTAATAAGACCCACCTTTAGTAACTAGCCATCAATAACTCTCCAGTTAGATAACTAAGCAGTCCTCATAGACCTGCCTTTGGGCATCATCTACACCAGGGGTCACCAACTTTTTGAAGGCTAAGGGCTACTTTATGGGTACTGAGTCATAGGACGGGCTACCAATACTGACCTATGAACTAGAGGAGTCGGCATTTACCTGAACTTCATAGATAATAAACATATTTCTATTGTTTCTTTTCATTTTTAATTTGCTTTTAGATATTCTCATTATGAAATCCATATAAATCCTCAAATGTTCTAATTTATTGATATGATAAAATGCTTCATAAATGCTTCAAAATAAGAGCTTCAGTAAAAAATAACATATCTGATTTAATCCACTGGTGAATTGTTCTGTTTTCAAAAGATGCTGAGGGCACCCCATGTTGTCCTTGAGGGTCCCTTGGTGCCCACGGGCACCACGTTGGTGACCCCTGATCTACACATTTTCAGTGAGGTTAATGTCTTTTCATAGGGAAGGCTGTTCATGAATTTTAATATTAAACATCTTTTCTTTTATTTCAAAAAGAGTGTTGTTTTTCAAACACTTTGCTCTTTGGTTTGAGGTACAGCTTACGAAATGCAGGTAGTTTTCCCTTTTACTACTTCATGACTGCAATTCACCCGTTGGACAGGAAATAACTTGTCACACAGCATAATACGCTCAGATCAAGAAGTATTTCTTATGTGGTGAAGACAGCCGCCCTGATGTTTCAGCAGTTTCAAGCACACTGTGAAGCCAGTGATCCAGGCTTCACAGTGTGCTTTTGTACCCATTAACAAGCTTCCAAATAGATAATCCATCACTTATATCAGTGGAAATGCTTCTGTTCATTTAGATTACCCACGTTCCTTGTACTGACCTGGTTTTTACCCATAAGTCAGAGTCTTTTGTAGCTTTGATCCCCCATAACAGGTTAATGTTTGACTGCTTTATCCACTCAAAAACCAGGATTGACAGAATTTCTATACAACCAACTTATTCTGTCCTCCACAGATCTCCACAGAATATTTGTAAGGATATTTAGAAATAATACAAACCACCAAGGTTCAGACCTATTATAAACTAGAAAATGCTGCAGCCTCTCCATCCAAAGTGAAGCCAGTTTGTAAATTACAATGGACTGGGAGAGCGTCAATAAAAGAAATAAGACACTTTGAAGCTTTACTGACATTCGGCAGCATGTTCTGGAGAGTTTAATATTTGGGAAAGGAAATGTTTTAGTCATCGCACCACAATAACATTGTTTAGAAGAAGGGTGCTCAAGTCCAGTCCTCAAGAGCTATCCTGCAACTTTTTGATGCACCCAATTTTTAACTCACCCAAATGAAATGAGTGGCTCGTTACCATGCCTCTGCTGCGCTAAATGAGGAGATTGAGCCTTTCGATTCAGGTGTGCTAGAGAAGAGATGCATCTAAGACTACGTTCACACTGCAGCCTGAAGTGACCCAAATTTAATTTTTTTGGCCCATATGCAACCTGGATCGGTTCTTTTCAAGACAGTCTGAACAACACAGATCCGATTTTTTCCAATGCAACCCAGGCCGCTTGGCTATTTGGTCCAGAATCCGATATGAATATTATCTTTTCAAATGCGACCTGTGTCTGAACAGCCAGGTCGCACCCATCCCACCTGAATGTCATTAATACTGACAAAGGTCACTATTCTGCTTCTTGCTACGCAGCAGTGGCAGGAAAAACGACAACAACAACAACAATGGTGGATGATGATGCGGAGAGCAGTATTTATGTTTAACCATCTTGGAAAGATTGAGTTTTAAGGTTGGGAAACATCGCTAGATGTTCTCCAGCACTACCATCCATGTTTACTTCCGTAAACACAGAGCACTCTAGCTTGTGACGTCATTGCGTCCTCTACTGCACATGCGGGACACATACAATTCGCTTACATTTGGAAATGTGAACAGTTATGCAAAGAAATCAGATTTCACAAAAAAATCGGAATTGAGCATCAAGGCCTGCAGTGTAAATGTAGCCTAAAAGTTACAGGATTGTAGCTCTTGAGCACCCCTGGTTTAGAGGAATCAAACAACAGATCATACATCTGTTCTGTGATCTGAACATCTTTCTTATGCCTGGTAAAAAAAAAAAAAAACTAAATGGGCCGATATGGAATATGGGGTTCAAGTCAAACCATTGATACTTTGGCCCTGATCAACCTGTGGAGGAACTCGCAAACCCTGCAAGGACTGTGGAACAATTGCAACATGGCTTTTGCAAAGAGTGATACAGCAGCTAAAGCAGATCTACTGAGTAAATGTTAATTTTCCATCTCATCTCAGAAATATGTTAGTCAGCTGCATGTGATGCTGATTTAAGAATATAAGGGTAATGCAGTCAAAGAATGTTTGGTTCGTTTCTGTTTTTTTACTCACTGGAAGATGTAATATTGATAATAAAAAACATGGAAAAATCTGAATGCCATACAAAAAGAGTGTCTTTCTATCTGGAGGTTTCTCCAGAGTACTTGTTGTCATTAACCATCATTATCTAAGACAACTCATTCACAAAACTCCGATGAGTTAATTTAATGTTTAATTTCAAACTGGGATTACTAAGGCAGGGCTCTACCCAAAGGTTTTTTTTTTTTTTTTACCAAGAGCACAGCTGTTCCAAAATGAAAAAAAAAAATGTAGGACTACGGAAAAAATTTAGTGTTACTATATATGTTGTTACATAACACCCTTTTGTTAATCAGAATTAATCTGGAAAATCATTGTTTCGTGAGGCTGTCTTTTTACAAATGGGGATTTCCAGTCACCAACACCAAATTATCTGCCTACTTCTGCAATTAACAATATAT